TGAGTCGATTCAGCAACCGATGGGACATCAGTTGCTGTAGTTTCTGCTTCGGCGTCCGCACAGAGACGTGCAGACGCGCTCTCGGCGGCCTTGCTCGCGCATCGCATGGGCTTGTTTACCATGCGATGAGATGTTGGAAAGTGGACGCGGACCAACAAGTGCAAACCCCGTCCCAAATGATTTGGGACGAGTATCCATTTAGTCAATCAGTCACTAAAGGGACTGATGGTTAAGGGGGGGGGTGATGTAACGGGGTGAATCGTTACATAACAATTTATAAGAAATTGTTAATAGAATATAACTATAAGAGTTATATTCTCAGAATATTGTCATAAGGACAAGATTATGTAGCACTTACGAGTAGTTCCTAATTGGTTGATATAGGCCATTATATCAACCAACGAAGACGCGCCACGACAGACGCACGCAATGAGTGGTGAGCAGATAACTGATTTACACATTTGTATTTAGACATAGTTAGATGAAGATAAATAGTGATTTATTGCAGACATTAACTATTATAAATACAGTTCTACTTTTTACTCTAACCGAGTACTCGCTTCTTCTTACCGTCTTCCTCTGCACGTACGAGTGTACGTGAAGTTACGAGGCACCGCCTTATTCTGTTATCAGAATAAGTAGCTTGTACTGTCACCAGTACAAGCTTCAGGGTGCCCCGTTACAGCGAATGCAGCGTAGTGAATGGTTTTCTTCCAGTCAGTGCCATCGTGGCACCTGATGACATTTAAAATCTCGAGGTGAACGCGTTCACAAATAGCGTTAGCTTGAGGGTTCTTGCTTGTTATAGGCTTGGCTTGTATCCCGTAGCTGCGGAGCAATTCTTGAAACTCATCACCAGTGAATTCCGTTCCTAGGTCGTGTATAACCGTTACAGGACGCGGGTAGCGGCACAGCCATTCACGATCGAAGCTTTCGGCTGTGGTCAGCGAAGTTTTGTCGTGCTGAATACCCACTTCCAGCCAACGCGTCGCATGGTCAATCATGGTATACCGTAGTGTCCGTCTTCGTAGGGACCAATGAGATCGACATGAACGGTGTCAAAGGGGTTCACCGTCTTGAGTGTTCGTGGTGGTAGTAATCCATAGTCCTGCTTGCCTCCGTGGACCTTTGCCTTCTTGCAAATTAGACAATCTTTCGCATTCTTGATGATCGCGGCTTCCATTCCGGGCCAGTAGAGAACCTGCCTCATTGTCTTGTACTGTCGTTCACCGCCAGGGTGACTGAGCGTTAAATGATACCAACGAATGAGATCTTCTCGCAAGCTATCGGGCACGATGACGCGCTTTTGGTACGCGACCAGCGTGCAGCCGAGTAGAGGTAGAAGCTGATAGTCAGGATTGTTGTTGCCGTTGAGGCAAGCTGTCTTGATTTTTTGAATCATCAAGTCCTTATCTTGATGTTCGCGAAGAACCGGACCATGCATGACACAATCTGGTTCATCAGCGGTAGCGCATATCTCGTCCGCGAGCTGCAAATGAGTCTTCGTGTTCATCGCATCGAATCTCATCCGGGAAAACGCATCAGCACCAACATTCTTGGTTCCCTTGATGTAATGCATCGATAGCCTGTACTCAGCCAACAGGAGCTTCCAGCGCTTAACGCGCAGGCTGGTTTCGGTCGGATAAATTAGGTTCTTATGGTCGGTGTGAACAACCACAGGGAACCCGAGCAGCATGGTGCGGTATTCGCGCAGCATTTCAACGATAGGGAGGAGCTCAAGCTTTATCGTTGTGTAATTCACTTGATGCTTGTTGAGACTTCGGGAATAGCAGGCGAGAATCTGGTTCTTCTGCATAATGATGGCACCGATTTGCTTTCCGCTGGCATCGGCGTAGACGTGAAATGGTTGCTCAAAGTCAGGAAACGCGAGCAGTACGGCTTGGGCAAACGCTTTCTGGATAGCGTGAAATGCTTCCGTGTCGCTAGACAACCAGTCGAACGGGACTTTGGAGCTGGTGAATCGGTTGAGAGGTTGGCACAATGCCGTCTTGTTGGGTACCATATCTCTATAGTAATTAATCATTCCGAGGAAGCGGCGTAGTTCCTTCCTGGTTTTGGGGACGGAAATTTGTTGGATGGCTTGAATCTTCTTTTGTTGGGGCTGGATCCCTTGAGATGTCAGCGTAAAGCCGAGATAGTCGACGGACTGTCTGAGGATGTGGCACTTCTTTCCGTTGAGAGTTACCCCATACTTGGTTAGTCGCTTGAACACAATGTGTAGGTGCTCTAGGTGCGTCTCTTCACTATCGGAGTAGACGAGTATATCATCCAAATAGACTACGACAAAAGCCAGATCGCCAAAAATCTTCTCCATGCAGGCTTGGTATTCGTCCGGTGCTGTAGAAATGCCCATTGGGAGTCGTTTGTATTGATACTTCCCGAACGGAAGACAGAAAGCTGTGTGACCACGGCTTGAGGCAGCAAGGCGACGCGCGTAATACCCCATATTAGCATCGAATGTTGACAGATACTTGGCTCCTGCGAGACGCAACAGGATCTCGCGTATACGTGGGACGTAATAAGGGCTGCGTTTCAGATATCGGTTGAGTCCGCGAAAATCTATCAGTAGACGAAGTGATCCGTTGGGCTTCTTGAGAAAAAAGCAGGCGATGCCATTTCTGAATCAAAAATCTGCTCCAGCACGTCGATGCTGACCAAATGCTGGATGAGCTCTCGAGCCTTGTTTTCGAGGCTTCTTGGGACTGGATAAGGTTTTGCGTGTACAGGCTTGTACTCCGGCACTATTGGTAGAGCGTAGTCTTCGAATCTCATCCTCCCCAAGTGACCGTCATAGAGATGCTCGTTATCGCGAAAAAGCTGGAGATATTTACCGACGAGTGGCTTGGATAGCCTGTCTGGCATGAGGTCTTCTGGTAGCACTGCAGTGTTATCGACTTCTTTGCTCTCTTCGGGGAATTCATAATCACTTGCGTTGGGAGACGATGACCCGCCGGTGTTTAAATGTGTATCGTGACCATCCCACTGAACCAGTTTGTCTTTAAAATTGAGCACGATTCCTAGTTCATTCAGGATATCACGACCGATTACCATGGCATCCTGGCTCTGATCCAGAATTTCGAACTTGTGCGTGATTATGGTCGAAGGCTGGAGAGACGGAAAGCGGAACTGTACAATCGTACTACCAGCACTAGCGACTTCTCCGTTGACCGTCTGAAACTTTGTCGCCGACTCGACTTGTCTATGCCCAAGCTGAGCATTGGCTCGCATAGTTTCTTGGTTGATTATGCTCCGCGAAGCACCACTGTCTAGCAGGGCATTGAAGGTGCCACTCGCGTCTTTGAATTGTACCGGGATCCGGAGTGGGGCGAGCTTGGCGCTCGGTTGCTTCTTCTTGACAAGGCCGACAAGCTTAAGCTCGCTGTCGCTGTCACTGTCGCTTGCCTCTTCCTCTTCGAATCTTGGGTAATTACTCTTTTTATGAGCAGTTCGTTTCGTCTCGGCAGGCTTGTGCTCTTCGCGTTGCTTCTTGAGGGCAAAGCATTCGCTGGAATCGTGCGAGCTTGATTTGTGGAATGAACACCACTTGCCGTGTTCTTGGTGACGGTCATGCTTCTTCTTGCCGCCTAGTACACCAGGTCGGTCTCGATGATCTTGACGCGTGTCGCGATGCTCGCGAGGGTTGCGCCGATCTCTGCGCTGGTCAGCGGTAGGGCGTTGTTGGTCGCGTCGACCTTGACCCTTTTCACCACCCTGGGTAGCTGGACCATTAAGGCGATCCCGGCCAGTCTGCCTCTCGCGCCTTTCGAGGCGCTCGAAATACATCGCCAGTTCGTTCACCGTCTCATACGAAATTCCGCAGCACGCGAGCTTGTCCTGCCAGTGCGGCGGCATGGCGCGGCGAAAATATCGACATTGTTGAAGCTCTGAGATGGTTTGCGAATCCTGGGGCAACTCGGCGTACATCTGTGCAAGCTGTCTTAGCCGTGCCGCGCAGCGTTGTACCGTCTCTTCTCTGCGCTTGGTGAGTGTCCATAGTTCTTCATCCAGGTCTTCACAGTAATCCGCTGGGACCAGAAGAAGTCCAACCTCCCGGTAAAAGTCTTCAAATGTCAGGCCTTTGCTGGAAGCATCGCTGGCAATGCGCTCTACTTCGCGCAACAGATCACCGTCAATCAGCGTAAGAAGTTGAACGGATAGTTGGTCAGCTCTCCAGCCTTTTCGTTTCGCGAGGCTTCGAAACTGCATGCTCCATGTGAGCCAGTCCTTCGATGAACCACCGCGAAAGCGCTTTATCTTCATTGTGGCGACGTCAGCTGGTGAAGTCGCACTTTCTTGGCACGTCACGATGGTGTAAGTGACGTATTCATCCTCATTCCGTCCCATGATGATGGCGACGGGATTCTCGTACGGGATGAGATGTGACTAAGTTAGCCAAATTTGATATATCAAAATGACAAACCCGGCCCGTGGCTTGCAGAGGGGCTCGAGTCTAATGTAGTGAAATGGAGAATGAATATATTGAGGAGGAGTGTTAAACTTGGTAGGCTAATCTGGTGTCATCATATCCAGTCTGGCGCAATCTTCTTTCGTCTGGCGCAATCTTCTTTCGTCTGGCGCAATCCAAGGATGGTCTCGCAGGTCATATCGATAGACAACCCATGTCACGTGGGAGAAGTTGCGCTAGTTCGGTACACCATACTTTGGTGCTGATTATGGGAACTCAGGTGCAGGGACGGGTCGGGAGTCGAACCGGAAGACAGCCGACCTGGTGCGGCCTCAGAGCCGAACGGAACCAGACCATCGGTACAGTCGAGTGCACAGCTCTCGTGTTCAGTATGGATACACGCGTAGTAATGCCGTTCCCATACCCGGATAATCAATGGTGGAAGTCTCGGGTGACTGATTTTAGCCGCCTGAATGTCGTCTATTCAAGTCGACAGGGGCAATGGATGCGCAGTTGCTGTCTTGACGACCCGACCAAGCCTAATTATCGTCGTTGGTCGATAACGCCAACAGTTCTACTCGCTATCGTCGCCGTCGCGACGTTCGATGACATAGATATCAGGCCGCAAAAAGTTGGCGGCCATCCGGAGTATTTCGCTGCCACCCCAGCAATTGTCGGTCACAGAAGCGTCTCGGTCGGAAGCATTTGACGCGTAGTCGTGCAGGTACCACTTGAATTGAGTGGCCAACGCTTTGCTGGACATGGAAGTCCAGCCACGACCGACCTCACGTAATGCGGCCACCCGCGAAACGTGTGACAGCTGGTCCTCCAGATTTAGGAGACCAGCGTTAGTTGTGCCCCGCTTGGCACACGCCGTCAGCTGCTCGAAGTGTGTATCCGAGATAACTAGTGAAGACCCAGCTGTAGCTTAAGCAACAGTCATAGCCAGACAATTTCCTGTCACAGGCGTAGTGACTGCCCTAACACCCAATATGCGCTCCAATTGTTGCTCCCGAATGGGCTCAGTCTCCGGTCTCGGTTCCAGAGGAATCGAATGATTACCTGTCCCATCAGTCTCGTTCACGAGCCGGTGTAGCTGCGCTCGTTCTGCGCGCTGTGCCGTTAACAGTGCTGGGCCTTTCCGTACTGGAGCCTGACCCTGAAGAACTGCTGTACGTTTCCTGGATTCCTCCTCCAAAGACAGCTTACAGACTGGCGGTTTTGCACTACTAGACGCCGACACGAGTGGGACATCCGCCACTGCGGTTTCGGTTCGAAAGCGATCCCCACGACCGCGTGCGTCTACGACGTCATCCCGGAGAACATCATATGCTCCTGTTTGGATACTTGTAGCAGCAGGAGACGGCTAAGCTGTGCCGTGCTGCCAGAGCCTCCCCCGTCCACAGATGGGGCGCGAAAGCCAAGGTCGTTCAGGTGACGGTAACGGAGCTGGTTGGCGTGGGACAACCGTTGGGTCTCGCAAACGCGCTTCTGTTGCCAAAGGGGACGCATCTGGCGCACCTGGCCGCACGACCCCGGTGCTGGGCAATGAGGCCGCCGATACTTCTCCAGGAGTGACGGCAGCTTGAGCCGCCGCGTCGGCTGACCGCTGGACCAGTAGACGTTTGCTAGCCATTTAACGCATCTCGTCGGGGCTGCCAAACGGTTTAGCAAGGTCTTCAACCGCATGAAGATCCGCTTCGGTGACCACAACCTCACCTGAACCTAGCAGCTGCGCGTCCGTATGCTGACACCGCGACGCCGGATGGCCCACAACAAAGGCACTGCAGATAACGCCCAACTCCCGGGTGACGTACGATGATAGTTATGCCAAATTACAGTATACGAACCACACCTTGCAGAAAAGTTGGACACCCGGCCAGCTGATATGTGACGCGCCACGCTGTTGACGTCCGCGAAGTAGGAGTGTAGGTATCCAAATTGTCAATTTTAAAATCCGTAGGAATTTTTTTCTTGAGGTACGCTGCGATGCGCTCAATTTCATGAAAACGAGTTAAGTTATAAAGCTCAACTATGTACTCCGTACGTGACCTACCCGAGCGTCAATCCGGACAGCTCTGATCCAGCCATACCGAACCCCTGACAGCATGGTGAACGTTCTCCAGTGTGCACACCCTACCCTGAAAGGGAATATGAACGGCTTGTTGCTGAGCCGCTGTCTTCCGAGAAAAAAAGTAGAAGTAAATACTTCTCCTTGTTCTGTTATAGCTGATGGTCTTGGTCATCCCGAGTAGTTCATTAATTTCAAGGATGTTAACTCGCGCCAACTCCGCCGATTCCAGGATCATGTCCGTGATCGCTCGTGTTGTACGTCGACTGACTGGAATCTCACGTCCACTGCCGATGTGAAGCACAAGTTGGCCTTCCACTTGCGCCTGAATGGTGCTATACAGACGGAGACGCTCTTTACTATCCATGACAGCTCGTAGGAAGTCCGGTATCCGGCGACGCGCAACGCCTCCTTCAGCAATGCCAATGATGACCTTCCACTCGTCATCAGTACCTTCGCGCAGCATGCGCGTGCTGGAAAGGCTAAGGCGGGTCTTGCACAGGGTAATTTGGGTGCCGACCTCGGTCGGCGAATATTTCGCCGGATTAAACATGAAGTCCTCATATACTGTCCATCGCGGTCCAGCGGTCCCGGCCTGTCCTGACTGTGTCTCGCAACTTACGATTTGTGCCCACTGGTTGAGAACCGGAGCCGATGCCCACTCGTGTTGGCTGGATAGCTTTCGAAAAATCTCCGTAAAGGCCCATTTTGAGCCTAGTAGGTCCTGACAGACCGCACGCGCGAGGCGTTGCCACTCCATAAACGACCCCTTTTGTGAAACAAATATTTACTGAAAAAGGCCAAGGAAGCAGACCAGTTCTTTGCCCTTTAGCGTAGGGTAAAGTGTGCGCTCGGCAGGCAACAGCTCCGTGCGCACCGACAATTGACTATACTCGACCGTAAACAGTTCTTGTAGAGTTTCTCTTCAAACACCTACGAAGCCGGTACCTTGATACACAGTCATATTGTAACGGGGCACCCTGAAGCTTGTACTGGTGACAGTACAAGCTACTTATTCTGATAACAGAATAAGGCGGTGCCTCGTAACTTCACGTACACTCGTACGTGCAGAGGAAGACGGTAAGAAGAAGCGAGTACTCGGTTAGAGTAAAAAGTAGAACTGTATTTATAATAGTTAATGTCTGCAATAAATCACTATTTATCTTCATCTAACTATGTCTAAATACAAATGTGTAAATCAGTTATCTGCTCACCACTCATTGCGTGCGTCTGTCGTGGCGCGTCTTCGTTGGTTGATATAATGGCCTATATCATCCAATTAGGAACTACTTGGAAGTGCTACAGAATATTGTCCTTATGACAATATTCTGAGAATATAACTCTTATAGTTATATTCTATTAACAATTTCTTATAAATTGTTATGTAACGATTCACCCCGTTACATCACCCCCCCTTAACCATCAGTCACTTTAGTGACTGATTGACTAAATGGATACTCGTCCCAAATCATTTGGGACGGGGTTTGCACTTGTTGGTACGCGTCCACTTTCCAACATCTCATCGCATGGTAAACAAGCCCATGCGATGCGCGAGCAAGGCCGCCGAGAGCGCGTCTGCACGTCTCTGTGCGGACGCCGAAGCAGAAACTACAGCAACTGATATCCCATCGGTTGCTGAATCGACTCAGCCTGTATCACCTGGTGATGCAGGCGCTGGTCATGAAGACACTCGTGTCTTCACAGAGTACGAGCTCGGTGTCTCGTACTCTCCTGATACGGATGACGGATCCGTATCGACGGCAATTGAATCCAAGCCGCCTGCCAAGCGTGGCATGGACGATGCTTTGCGTCGTAGCATCTTTGGTTCATCTGATGAGTCAGATGAACCATCGCCGAAGCGAAGGCGCTCGAGGTCGCGAGACTCGGGCGCTAATAGTGGTGTCGTTTCTCCAATGGACACCACTTCACAGCGAGGTGCCAGTACTTCTGTCGGCACGTCGCAGGAAGAGCGGGACCGCAATGTGTTGCGTCTCGCTCCAGAAAAAGAAGGCATGGATGCCTCCTAAATCTGTCATGGATCACTTGTCGGCGACGACGAGTGATCGTTATCGAACACGATTGTTCGATTCGTCAAGGATCCATCACCTTGACCCCAGCGCGAAAGACTATCGCGCTGAACATGAGTTCTTCATCGATGCTTTCTTCAGACATCGATGGTACAGTGGGAATCACAAACGTGATGGTCCCTCACTACTTCAGGCGTGGAACGCCTACATCCATAACCTCGAGGATGTAGGTCGTGACGCTTGGAACGACAAACTTATCAAAGCTCGTGATAAGTTTGAAAAGCGAACCCCCGACAGGTGCACGCTACAAGCTGCATCGTCTGTCAAGGGAGAAAGGATTACCCTGCCTCTCTTGGGGAGACTCGTGCCCATGTTGTGTGAACAACTCTGCACGAGCACCTAAGGAGGCTTACCTCCTTACCAGCCCGTGGTGGCGCGTACGTGTCTCTACTGAGATGTACGAAGGGATTGACAACCTGAAATCCCTTTACGACCGTGCCGGGAAGACTTTCTCCGGCGGTCCTTCTGCGGCACAGGATGTGCCGCGTCGTACTGCTCGACCAGACCCAGTACGTCAACCATCAATTGGGAGCGGGGCTCCCAAGAATCCCAGGACGGGGGATAGCCGCGCCACCGGACGAGGTAACTCGTCCGACGTCCGTTCACGTCGCGGTGGTTCAACAGCTGCTCAACTAGATAGCGCTGGCCACCGCGAGAGTCCTCTAATGGAGGTGGAGGGAGGAGGAAAGACGCTCTCCACACGATCATGTGGATCGGTGTGTTCCCGAGAGCTTCTTTGATCGCGTAACGCAAGGGTTACGCGACGATCTCGAGCATGAGCGGAATAGGCGTCTCCAGATGGTGGACACTGCCTCGAAGCATCGAGCTGAGTTTGCCTTTGCTCAGCTTGAGAACGAGAGATCTCTGACATCTCTTCGTGACGAGCTAAGGGTAGCTCGTGGGATTGTTGATCGGTCTCGGGCTGAGATAACTGCTCTTCAGACCCTTGTTGATGCCCACCATCGGGAGCACAAGGCTCTCTGCGAGATGCTTGAGCGCAAGGGCGTTCTTCATCGGAAGAAGCAGCGTACTGATGGTACGGCTTAAGCCGACCAACGTAAAACGTGGGATGCGTTCGCATCTTACGTGGTAACTCGATCGTGTATGCATTGCCTAGGCGGTGCAATACACGAAATGGGCCAATGTACTTGGGTAGTAGTTTACTGCTACCCAAGTTAGTCACTACATGTTTTGGTAGATTAACCGTAGACAGTAGGACTAAGTCACCTTTATTAAATAAAAGAGTGTTTGCCCTTCCATTCTTGTCAGCGTTTTGCTTTTGCTTATCCACCGCTTCGGCGATGGAGTCTTGCACAAAACGGACTACCGTTTCACGAGCCAGTATGAACTCATCTGATGACTCGTTAGCTTCAGTGTGCTGTGAGCGCACTGCAGCAACAACAACCTTTTCTTCAGTGAGGGCTTCCGCACTCTCACTGGCATCATTGTCTTCAGTGAGGGCTTCCGCACTCTCACTGGCATCATCTTCTTCGATATCGATGTTATCGATATCGGCATCAAACGCAATGACTTCCTCGTCAGAGCGTGATGAGCGTGAACCAAATCGGTTTTTGCTCGCGCGAGTCCCTCCCCCCCTTAAACCAGAGTTACACTCTAGTAAGGTGGGTACACGCGGATGGCGCAAGCCATTCACGTAAAACGGTGTATGTCTCGTGGACGCATGCACCGAGTTGTTGATGGCAAACTCTACCATCGGCAAAAACTCACTCCAACTCTTAAAGGAGTGTACGTATCCTCGAAGTATCTCTTCAAGGACACGATTGGCACGTTCCGTCTGACCATCTGACTCTGGATGATCAGATGTTGACATCTTCAAGCGCGTTCCGAGTGATTTGAACACGGAACGCCAGAAATCAGCAGTGAATCGTGGATCTCTGTCTGATACGAGTTCACGGGGCAACCCATGAAGTCGGAAGATGGTGTCAATAAAGACACAAGCACAGCCACTTGCCGTGATTGTCTCTGGTACAGCCACAAGGTGTACCATTTTGCTGAATCTGTCAACAAATACGAGAATACCCGTATTCCCGCGTGCGTCTTTGGGTAACCCGAAGACGAAATCCATTGAGATGGATTCCCAGCACTCAGCCGGAACCGGTAGAGGCTGTAAAGGTGCACGCAGTGAAGGACTTGACTTCACTCGTTGGCAGACTTCGCATGCGCGAACATACTTTCGCACAAACTGATACTGGCGGGGCCAGTAAAAGTCTCGACTTGCCGTGAGATATGTTTTCTCTCGGCCACGATGTCCTCCTATAGGAGCATCGTGATACTCGAACATGATCCGCAAACGCAGATCAGTATCATCTGGAATGACAACACGTGGTGTGTCACCAGAAACGGCTGTATAATACAGTAAACCGTTACGAGTAGTGTATCGATCTGATGCAGATCGATACGCAGACGACAATCGTTTCAACGATTCTCGAGATGGTTGGGAGAGATGTGACAACAACTTCACTATCTCACCATCTTGGGCGTATGCCCGCCTCACATCATCATACAACATT